AGGAATGTCTGCCATTGACAAGATTGTGAACCGGAGGGCGCTGAGCATCAGTGCTGCCAGTTGTATCTGCACCTTTTCCAACAATCAGTTTGGAGAGTTATGCGGGCTAGCACGCCGCAAACACTTTTCAAGGAGCTTTGGAAAGCGGATGCCATCGGATCATGGATCGGGATACTGGATCTCTCCGCGCCTGGCCGCTGGTGTTTGGAGCTACACACTATTTTCAAGGCCAGGCCCTAGAGAGGTGAGAATAAGTTGGTACCAACTCTTTTCTGTAGTCTATACTAGTAGGGGAACCCTCCCAACCAAAAATGGGGTGACAAAGGGCACTACTGGGGGACCTAGAAGGAGAAGTCTCTTGAGCTAAAAACACGCTCAGGTGGTACCGGGGCTGAAACACACCAGCCACGAGTTCATGGTCAACTAGCAGAGCTTACGTTTTCCGGCTTTGCTGATGAAACAGCTCCAGCAGCTCTCAAATGGCCAAAACCTCACCCTTGGAGTGCTCTTTTGTTTGCTGCGAACTGGCCTCTGCCCAGTTTGGACCTAGCTAATAACAGGTGATCACCTTTTGCAACCTGGAAACCAAAAGTGGTTGCCGAAAAGGGTTGGATCACCTTTTGGGGACCTGTACTAAAAGTGGTCGAAAGGGAAACTAAAAGAAATAGAAGGCTCTGCAAAGGGACAACTACCTGGAGTCTCCATGACCCGAAACAAGAATGGGTCAATGACCAACCATGAATTTGGGTAATGACCACCCATTTTTTCTTCGGGACAGATTCGGAGACTCCAGGAAAAAGCTTGGACTTTCCCCTTAAAACTCCAAGGTCTGGGGAAGTTCATCTCTTACAGACATATAGCCCATGTTACCCAAAAAGTTACGAACAGTTGTGTTTTTTTAAGAGGTAAGTAGAAGCTCGGCTTTGACCCACTGTCGCTGAAATCTCAAGAGCCCGCGGAAGCCGCTCGTTGCGCCCAGCTGCAGGATGCCATTTGCCTCAGCAAAACCACCTCCACCGAAATCAAGCGAAAAGGCGCCGAGTGACAGGCACACACCCGCCGTGCTTTTCAAAAACCGGAGCCGTTTTTTTGTTTCCCTGTTTTTTTCCCGGAGGTTGTGTAGAAAGAAGGATCACTGGAAAGCATGGGGAATGTATCCCTAGAGATGCGCCGGAATTCGGTCACGGTGCCTGGCAGGGTATCCCTGTATCCCTGCGCCCAAATGGACGGCAACAGGTCATCTTGAAATGAAAAGGGCCAAACCATTGCCCCGCGAGCTTTGCAAAGGTACAGAACAGCGAAGTTCGGCCCTCAAACTGGTTCTCATCACCTCCAAATTACAATCTAAGTGCTGCTGAAGTACATGGGGGAACAGTATTGTGTCTCAAGGCTGCTCCTACCATGACACGCACAATTGTTGATATAAGCAATGAGCAGATTATGCTCCCATGCCCAGGTGTGCCTATACCGTTGCTTCCCAACATCCGGGTGAAAGGGACTCCGCAGAGACTGCCACTTTCGGTCTCCGATTTTGGGACATATTCACGGCCATTGGCTTAGACTGAAGTTGGAGTGAGTCCTGGAAATGAGAACGCTAATCCGAACCCATGGAATGAAACATGTCCATAATTGGACCCAATATCTCAATTGCTGAGTGGATGGCCAAATTTTTTTTATCAAACTTTGTATTTACCACTAAAATGGTCTTCCCAGAAAGTTCAAAGTTCATGAACTCAGGAAGTGAGTAATTGGACCCAATATTTAAAAGGTTCTTGATATTGCATGATATCCATCGGTGTTTTCAAGCGGCCCTGTGTCTCAAGGCTACAGGTAGCCACGTTTCTGATGGACTCGTGATAAGGGCAAAGGTCTTTTGTGATTTTTGGGCTTTGCCTTCACAAAACAACCATTCAGCGACCCTAGAACCAAGTTCTCATCGCCAAAACCACAATTCCAAACCACCAACTAAGGTTACAACCTCACAACATGGGCACTTGGACCCTCAAAGAGCATAAAAGCACCCAATTACTTTGAAGGGAAACCACAAGCGAAACAACTGCCTTTTGGAGTTCATTCCCTCAAACACCCGGTCCAGCAAGGGAACCGGTTGAAGACCCAGGAGTGGACTTTTCCCCCATGGCCGGCGCCCAAGAACTGCGTTGAGGCCAAAGAATAATCCGTAATCCGCATGACACCACAAGGAAAACCGCTACCATGTTACCATGAGGATTTAAGGATTGGTTTTGAAGACTTAGTTCAGCTGAAGCTCGTCATGAAAACTCCAGGGGTCATGAAAACTCCAGGGGTCATGGAAACTCCAGGGGTCATGGAAACTCCCTCTACACTCAAAACACGCACCGACCCACACCATCCCCCCGAAAACGAAGCGACGTGTTCTGCGCCCGGCGGCGTCGATCTCGAAGGTCACCTCCACTTGAGGCCCTCCCTTGGGCATCGGCGGCAGCCCGCCGAGCACGAAGCTCCCCAGGAAGTGGTTCTCCTCGCGCAGAAAATCCGCGGACCGGCCGACTTGGCGAGAGAAAAAAACGGCGGACGCTTTGCGTGCTGTTGTTTTTTGTCAAAAACCATATATCCGAAAGCATGGCGCGCGTTTTTTTTGTGCCGCGATCTTTTTCAAAAAGCAGATCTGTTTGTTGAGATGTGTCTTTTTTGGGGGGATCCCCTTGGCTCGAGGGAACGAGCAAGCCATCCAATTGGAAGGGTTCCCCATATGTTCTTTGGCTGGGCCACTGGATCAACTCTGACCCATGGCTTCGACTCAGGGGCCATACACTAAACTCTCAAACAAAACAAATTGTGTTTCCCCAGGTATACTCGCTTCTTTCATCACTGATACATTCATATCATTGCATGACAGTCTCTATGCTACATGGATTAATAAACCAATTTCGTGGTGCAATAGTGTATGCTGGTAACAAGCAAAAGACCCTTGAACCAGAGGAATGATGACTGCAGCAAATTGACTCAACGGGTTGCTTGCAACTGCGCGGAACCTTGCCGGAAACAGTCACAACGTGCTCCCATCTATCTGCCCCTGACTCACGCAACACCAGGTACAACTGTGGTCGCTCCCAACCACCACTGCTTTCCCTTCTCATTTTGAGAGGCGGGGGATTCCATTCGAAGCGACGCCGGCAGAGGCTCGCTTTTCTTCAAATCCGCTCTCGCCACAAAGCCCGAGGAGCAGGGTCGAAAACTCGGTCTGCTTGCAAAGGCAAGCTAAAGAGCACCAAAGCTTTGCTACGCAAATCGTTTTGTCCCCCAAAACATTGCTCCCAGCAAAAGGACGCCTTTCTGTTGAATACGCAGAACATGTTAAAATCACCACAAACAAAACAACAAAACTATAATTGTGGACCACCGCAAAACATACGTGAAATATATCATATAGGTATAGGGACCCCTTGTTCTGGCGCTTTCGCGGCTCACAGTATCAAGTCCAGAAGGCTCCGGTGCTGCTGCGCCCCATAGACGTCTCGGTCGCCTTTGGACCCGGCCAAACAGCCACGGGCGCAGGTGATTTTCAAGGCCAGGCAGGCGTCGTCGCAGTACACGCCCAGCACCTGCCTGCGGCGCGAAGAACACAAATGGAAAGGTAGACTCAAGCCCGCGTAACCCTAGATCTTTAATTTTGAGCCACAGCCACATAGATACTGTGGATGGACAAATCCACTTCGCAGCACTTGAAAACCATGGTTGAAACCGTTGTTTGCTGGTATTTACAGGGCAAACATCATTCCAGGGTTTCGCCAATGGTGGAGGATTTCGTCCATCCACAGTAGGGGTGGCTCGGTACCTGTTTTGGAGGCTCGGGAATCGGCTTTTTGGGGGTGCGCGATTTTGGGGTTCGCCCGATAACAAACACATGGACTCACCACGAGCGGTACTCAAGCACAACAGGCGTCCTCCATTTTAATCTTAAGCCCCCTGGTTCAACAATTAGTGACGGATTCCTTTTAATCAAAACAAACATGAGAAGACAACTAATATGATTAAGCAAATGGAAGGTCGCAGACTGGTTGGCCAGTGGTTGCTATCAGTTTGTTTTTCTCTCAACACAGCGTGGGACGCAACACAAAGACAAGGTACGCAGGGAACATGTGTGGCTGGAGTGTCTCCGCGGTTGCTGTGGCAGGTCGGGAAGGATGGACAAAAAGCCGCGGCAGGCACCAGTTGGTCGGTTTATCCCAGTATGATCAGGGTTTCGTGGGCTTCATGTTTTCCAGCTGGTGCAGGTTTGGTTCAGCAGGATTCTTGTTGATTCCGGCTATCAAATAATATAGCTGGAAACAAGGGGCCTATGGGGAAGCGCCTGCGACAAGAGGCACCATGAGGCACGGACGTTGGTCAAATTGGCCTCGTCCCTTCTCTGTTTTGTTGACATTTAGAGCAAGTCCTAAGGACCATAGACCTCACACGACTCAAATTTCAGTTACAAGCCAAATATTGGAGTTGCGATTTGGTTCAGTACCTCTCCCATTCAGCTGCCACTATAGTAGGGAATCCTTCGGCAAGGCCGCCTCTAGATTGTAAATCATGGTTTCTTCCATTTGGTTAAGACCCCTGGAAAAAATGAGCACATATTTCCAATGGTGATAAACTCCTTAACAAACACCAACCAGGAAAGAACAAAAAACTTAATTTCAGCCAATGGAAGGAGTTTCCCTGCATGGTACATCAGTGGCGAAACGCCTGGAAGCACTGGCTCCCTTTCTCGTTAACATGTTGGCACCGTTTCATTGCTGGTGCGATGGGCAGGGAATGAGGGAATCACCTCTATAAACCATCCAACTGGTGGTTTCCTTTAAGGAAAATCGCTGGGTTCATTCCTACATTCCCTTTATCGCACCGATCGCACGTTTTTTGGGGAAGAAGTCAACGGTTGACGAACTGCGTGCGCAGTTCGAAGTTTTAAGAATTGCCAGTCTGATACCAATACCTCACTTGCCCAAAGAACCTGGGAATAAAAGGTTGACCTTTTGCGACCTCTACTAAAAATTGACCAAAAGAGGAAAACCAAAAGGTCAAAAGGTCGGCTTTGAACAACTGAGATACCAGTGCTGCCAGGCGCGAGAGGCTCGCCACTATAGGTAACCGATCGCTAGTTTTTCCAGGTTTTTCCATGGATGGTTAAACTTCTGGTTACCTATAGTGGCGAAACGCCGAAGCACTGGGTTTGGCAAGTTGCTCCAAGACCCGCCCCTGGTCCGATACTTCGTCAATTTTCAATGGCTTGTCTCAACAATAGGGAACGCCTCACATGCGTGTCTGGGTCATGGAATCTCCATTTTGCTCGTTGCTAAGTGGGCATATTTGCCATCCATTCCCTGACAATTTCCTGCCAAACAACCAGACAAATGCTCTCTTTGGTGGACATCATACATCCGTGGCAATTTATGTCCACCCACTTGTGAGTAGGTTTTCCCATTTTAAAACTCGTCATAGCCATGCGTCTTTCTCAGCGGAAGCCGCCAAAACGGGTGGTGTTCGTTTCAGGGCTTCCCTTGAAAAGGTGTACCAACTCCAAAAAAGGCACACTTACCTAGTTTCAGGGCTTCCTACATTCCCCCCTTTCTATATGTCCCCAATTAATTAAGCTGACAGGGACCCCTTAAAAGAAAAATCGTCTTCTAGGACCCCCCTGTCAGGTTCCATGTCAATTCGTCGGAGAGTATTGCAAGCTTCGCCTTCTGGGCTCCCGAACATGGCCAACCATCCCCTTTGCCCTCCTCTGCAGCCGGCTCTGGATCTTGGCAGCATCCAGCGCAGAGCTCTGCTTTGCTGCGAGGTAGCTCGACTCCTGCCACGATCCCTTCCATCCGGCTTCCGCATCGCTAGGTTTCGAGGATCCATCCGGCGAGGACCTCGTTTTTAAAGAAGCAATGTGGTTGCTGCAACTTGGACTTCGTCGTTTTCAAACAGGCTGGATTCTCCGAAAATACAGATTGCTGCAATTTGGTTCCCAAACAAATAATTATGTGAAACAGTGGTTCCACAAGCCTTGTTCTGGTGATCGTGCACGTGACGTCTCCCCTAGTGATAGGCAGGTGGATGTCCGGAAGGTCAAACCACGCGATCCATCCGTGGCGATCCGGGATGTGCAGAAAATTCCCACTGGTAAAAGCGAAGAGCTCGTGGGGTCAAATGGACTCCCAACCACAACACCCCAAAAGAAGAGACCCAAAAAGTCAAGGAATCCAAGGACTGGGAACCGTCCAGCTGGAACACGAGCTTTCATCCCAGCCAAGTTAACCTAGGCGTGGCGTGCACGGGCCTGGCCTGCCCCGCAAAGACAACCATAGGCAATCCAGAAAAGCCAACCGACTGTAGACCCACACAAAGTCATACTTGAAGGGGTAAATGAAGGAACCCCCAAAGAGCCAAGGCTGCAACAGGTTAGAGAGTCTGGCCATGCACCAAAGTTGGAGACAACATGGCTACTCTATCAAGGTTAACTCAAACGTGGGGGAGTGGTTTGGCGGGAAGAGCCAACCACGCTGGTTGCGTCTGGCAATCGGGCTTTCAATGCATGCCTGCCAAATGCGGGATCAAAACGTGCACCGAGCGAGGAAGCCCTTTCAGGGTCTGTTCATTTTTCACGTCCTTTTTCTGGGAAACAACACGCAGGCAACCCACAAGTCTCAAAGGGAAAAAAAAAGACAAGGCCGGATCCACTAAAGAGAAACGAATGGAATGCCCGGGCTCGGGGGGCGTACTTCGATATTCTCAGTTGTTCAGTGACCCTGGAAAAAATAGGATTGGAGCCCTTTTTTGCGGCTTGGACCATTTTAGTGGGGCCACCCACAAAAAGAGTTGGAAAAACTAGTGGGAGCCACTGGACAACTGAGTATTCATATGCGAGTGTTTCTCAAAATGTTCGGGGCTCGAAGGCGGTTGCCTTCCGGGTCCCGTGAGCTTTGCTTCTCAAGTTCTCGGACCGACTCGGACGGGGACCCCCGTTTCACATGGCTTCCGTTGCTCGAGGGCATCGTTTGCTCTTCCAAGTCTTTGAGACAGACCCAGAAACCCTGATTTGAGCCCAACAAAAACCTGGAGTCTCCTTCTGACCCTCAAAAAAATGGTTGGAGTCATTGCCTCAAATGGTTGATCACTGACCCATATTTTTGTTTTGGGTCGGATCCGGAGACTCCATAGACTTCCACGCCTCCTCAAAGATGAGGTCGAAGGTTATCTCGTTGATGCCGGCGTTCCTGAGCTCACAGGAAATTGTCCCTTGGGTTAGCCAAAAGAGGAAAACGTGGCCCTTTTCTGGTTGCTTTGGAAGCCGAAGGGAAAACCGAAATCAATTAGTTCAAGAACCCCTCTCCAGGAATTTTGGGGGTGTTGGGTTGATTTCCTGGAGATGATTTCTTGGAATGTTGGGGGTTTTCCCCCAGTTTCAGATGCACACCAACCATGTTCAAGACATCGACAGCCGGCACCATGCAATGGTGGCTTCAAGGTCATTCCCTACTGAGC